GGGACTCGATCCCGGGACTCCAGGATCATGACCTGAGCCGAAGGCAGTCGCTTAACCAACTGAGCCACCCAGGCGCCCCAGAATCAGTGCTTTTAAAAGCGAGACCGCATCCAGGACAAAGATGAAGGCCTGGGGCTTTTCCTCTTTCTGCCTGGGGATGGGAGTGCGCAGCTAGACAACCCCGGGGCGGGGGGGAGGGGGCCACAGGCTGTGACTTGAAACACTACAGAGAGGGCCTAAGAAGCACCCTGTTTGGGGATGACGAGAACGTTCTACATCTTGATAGATACACAGATGCATACCTTGTTATATCTTAGTGAACCGAACACTTCGGATATGTTTTACTATGTATAAATTGTACTTCAATAAAACTGATTTAAAGAAACAAGGAGAACCCTGGTGGAGGTGCTGACCTTCATATAACTTTGTAGCAAGTTGCTTCCTCAGGGAGGAGTCTGCTGGAGATTCTCTCTCCCCGTCTCCCTCTGCCCCCTCCCACCCCACCCCCCCCTTCGCTTGCACATGTGGGCACGCACACACTCTCTCTAAAATAAATAAATCTTCCTTAAAAAATAAAATGTATTCTTGGGGCACCTGGGTGGCTCAATCGATTAAGCATCTGCCTTTGGCTTGGGTCATGATCCCAGAGTTCTGCTCAGCGGGGAGTCTGCTTCTCCCTCTGCCCCTCCCCCCACTCCTGCTCTCTGGCTCCCTCTCTCAAATAAATAATCTTAAACAAATAAAATGTATTCTTTAAATTTCACTTTATGCAGTTAAAACTGGTGGCCTCTAACACACGTTCCTTATCAATTCATTCAGTATTAAGATAATAGCCTCAGGTCTCCTGATTCCTGTGTTTGGAAGTCGTGATTGTGTGTGTGTGTGTGTGTGTGTGCGCGCAGTACTTGTAATTATGAACACATTTAGGATCTCTCTTGATGACAAAGTCTGGCACTGCTAATACCACTGTGGAAGTGAACGTTGGATTCCAGTAGAGGTTGGTGCAAATGAAGGTGTCATTTTCTCCCAGGTTTCGAAGCCCACATACCCCGGAATAAGACCACCTATATGGTCCCTCCTGTGCTGGGATCTACCAGTGGAGTGGATCGCGGCTTTAGAAACACACCAGGAATCTTCATTCATCACTAGGCTCAATGCCCAAGGTGCCCCCTAAGCAGCAGCTAGTACATCACTCTGCTCATAGTGCTTGGCCTCTGGTGGACCCCTGGCTTCCTTCCGACCTCACAGCTGATTCTTGTCTCCTTTGCTGGGCCCTCCTAATCCCTCTTCTCTTTTCCTTCTGTACCCCAAAGCTTACTTTGCCTCACAACTCACAGTATCATCTATATTCTTGTGATACCCAAGTGATCGTGGCCAGCCCAGACCTCTCCTGCTTGACCAGCCCAGACTCTGACCCCTCTGCCCACTGCAGCTCACACCCCAGGCCGGGCCACCATCCTCACCTGTCTCCCTGCCTTTGCCCGTGCTCTACAGCCTCCCCTCCCCCCAGGACCCAGTAATGCCTACATCCCACAAGGTAACTCCTCTGTGCAGAGCAACCCCTTCTGCCTTTGCTCCCTCCCACTCGCCCCCCAGTTCCGACCCTGATCTATTTTCCAAAGCTGCCATTGCCATCTACATGTTTGTGTGTTTACTTGTTTATAGTCTACCCCCACCCCCCCACACACAGACACATCAGCTCCAGAGGGGCAGGGGCTGCTTTGCTGATTGCATAGAGGGCACCAGGGTCCAGACCTCCAGGAACTCAGGCCAGCTGAGGGACCATGCCCAGTGAGGGGGAGAAGAAGGGAGTGTGGGATTAGCCTCCCCATCCCGGCCTAGCTTCCTCCCACAGCCCAAGAGAGCCTGGCTGTAGCCCGCCTGGAGAGGGATGGCTGCCTGCTGTTCCCTCCGCACCCGCGCTGAGCCCAGAGAGAGCTATGGACCAGGAAGCAGCACTTACCTGGCGGAAGGTGTACTCAGCCACCTGGTAGAAGAGGTGCAGCAAGGCAGGGTCCCCGCTGTCACTGTAGCCCATGAGGAAGGCAATCATGGCTTCACTGTGTGGCCACCAGAGCTTCATGGCCCACTCCAGCTGAGAGCAGAGCAGTGGCAGGTGTCTGAGAGCCCTGGGTCCCGCCCTCTGCCACCCCGCTGAGCCCATCCTCCAGATCACGGCTCAGACTCCAGCCGGCCCAATCACTTGGAGCTTCATCACGGGATGGATGTCCCTGAGGGTCTGAATGGCCCCTCTGAATGGGACTAGCTTCCTGACCAGGATGCACCCCCGAGCCACCCCTTCGAAAGGGCCAGGGTGGGGTGGCCTCCCCTTTAACCCTGGAATTGAAACCCTGTCTGTCTGCTGGTCAGCCTGTCTAAAGCCTGATGGACACCAGCTCCTGCCGATGGCAGGGTCAGTCACCCTTTGAAGATCTCAGCAGGATCAAAACACAAGCAGAGGCATCATCAGATCTAAGGGTGCAAATCTGCTCCTGCTACTGACGCCTGAGAATCACCCAGAGCGCCTTTCAAAGATGAAGGGGACAGATGTCTCAGAAGTGGCACTGTCTGCACATGAGGTCGAGGGCCGCTGGCCTAGAAGTCAAGAGTTTACCACCAGGGTCACACTGGGCGAGTTCGTCACTCTGAGACTCAGGTCCCCCTCCATGAAATGGGTGATGACAGCGCCCACCTCGCAGGGAAGAAAGCCTTGAACAGGCTAGTACCATGTGGCCCTGGGCACGTTCCCACCTGGGTAGGGCAGAGGCCATCAGCATCCTGGAAGTAGAAGAGGCCTCCATGGTCAGGGTCCCATCCAGAGCGGAAAGGCAACAATAGGAACTTGTTGATAACGTGAGCTCGAAGCTTGGGGTCACCCTTCCTGATGGCGTAACGGAGCAGGAACCAGCCAGCTTCCAGCGCATGGCCTGGTGAGGGCTTGGGGTTAAGGCAGGCAGTGGATCCCCCCCTCCACAGGCAGGGGGGTCCACCTCCTGTGCTGACCACAGGTGCCTCCCTTCCTCCTCCACTGACTGTGGGAGCTGCTCTGAGCTCACCCCACAGCCACTCTCCTGCAGAAAGCTTGCCCTCCCGGTCTGTCCCAGACTCTCTTTCCTGCTGCTGACACCCCAGCCTGGGAGGCCTGTCCCGGCTTCTCTGCCTGGTCCTCAGTAGCAGGTGGGGGGTGGAGGGAGGAAGGCAGACCCCAGGCACTCCCGACATCTGAAGCACAGAACCCGACACTGAGCATTCCCTTCCTCCTGGGCCACCCCCAGCCTACTCTACTCCTCACCTGGGTTCTGGTGCCTCCCCAGGCAACCAGAAAGTTCCTCACTGTCCTCTGACACGTTCTCCAGCACAGCCTGTCCATCCCTCTGCAGAGGAGGGAGGAACAGAAGGTAAAACTGCCTTCAGCTCCTGCCCACCAACCAGAAAGGCCCGCCCGCCCGCCCTTCCCTCTGTCATCTGCAGTCCTGGGCAGGCCTGGCTCGGGGGGGGGGCGGGGGGGGCGGGGATTTGAGAAGGGGCCCAAGGGCCTGAATGGGTTCTGACCCTTGCCTGGGCCCCCGGGGTGGGAAGGGTGACACATTGAATGGGGGCTGAGATTAGGTCACCTGGACTGCCCACAGAGGCCCGGGAGAACCTGGGTCTGGCTGGGTTTCCTGCTCTCTAACGTGCCAGGGCTTCTGGCACCTTCCCTCCTGGCCTTGGCCCCAGCGGGCTCCCCCATGCCCTCCGCCTTTCCCAGGGTCTAGGCTCCTGGGCCCCAGCCGTGCTCCCTGCCCCCACCCCCGCCATGTCTCCCCCGCCTGTATAAGGGGGCCACCGAGGCCCAGCTGGGGGTGTGGGTGTAGGCAAAGGAGGTGCCCCAGGGCATAGGGAGTGGGAGTCACCTTGCCCCCCCGCCCCCAGCTCCCAGGCCCCATCTGGCAGGTGAATGTCAGCCTCCTGTCCCCTGGGTGTGTCCCCCCCCCAACCTGGACATGCCGCAGAATCCTCTGGGCACACCAGTCCCCCAGCTCCGCGTAGTTGCCCGCCAGCTCCTCGTCCGCCTCCC